GCATCTATGGCCATGCCCTCTTCAATGACTCCACTAAGATATGCTCTGTGGCTGTCACTGGTGTGTCCTCTTCCATGGTTTCGTTCGTGACCCCAAGCCTGTGGTTTTCATCATGGCCTCTTCAGTAGAAACCTTGATGACTCATTTTCACATCACCTTCATGACTGTGACTCAATTCAGGGCCACATTGTAGCTTTCTTCATGGCCAAGGCCACAGGCCCCTCCATGACTCAGTTTATTGTCAAGGCTGCAGAACAGTGGACCCAGGCCAAAATCATGGGTATAATAAGTGTTTCTCAGAGGCAGAAGAGTATCCCTCTAAAAGAGAAAGATGTGAATATTTTAAGAGAGTGATCTTCTCACATTTCACAATCCACCTGGTTGGTTGACTAAAATCACAAACTCACTTTTTTTTTTTTCTTCAGGTATTTATTTTACTGAAACTGAACTTGAAATTAACAACAGTAAGCAAAGAAAAGCACAGCAAATGTATTGTATAAGATCTAGATTAGAAAGTCAGAAGTATAAAAATGAATGGTTTATCCTTTTCCAAGTTTCTCCTACCTTGAGGATTTTTTAAAATTGAAGTATAGTTAATTTACAATGTTGTGTCAGTTTCAAGTGTACAGCAAGTTGATTCAGTAATACATATATATATATAATATATATTATACATATTCTTTTTCAGATTCTTTTCCATTATAAATTATACTATATTATTATTATTATTATTACAGATATTGAATATAGTTCCCTGTGTTATACAGGAGGTCATTTGTTGTTTACTTTCTTTATATATAGTACTGTGCATATGTTAATCTCAAACTTCTAATATATCTCCCTCCCCCTGACTGTCTTTTTGGTAACCATAAGTCTGTGAGTCTATTTCTGTTTGGTAAATAAGTTCATTTGTATCATTTTTAGGTTCTATATATTTAGGATTGGCTAGTATGAATAATTTCAGCAGGCTTGGGCAATAGGGGTGGTCTTTAGTTGTCTGGTACCTGACTCTTGGCGATGGTGGTTTAGTCTCTCTGTTGTGTCCAACTCTTGTAACCCCATGGACTACAGCCCACCAGTCTCCTCTCCCCATGGAATATCCCAAGCAAGAATACTGAAGTGGCTTGTTATTTCCTTCTCCAGGGGATCTTCCCAATCCAGGGATCAAGCCTGGGTCTCCTGCATTGCAGGTAGGTATTTTACCGACTGTGCTACCAGGGAAGCCCCAAACCAAGGAATCTTCCCAATCCAGGGATCAAACCTGGGTCTCCAGCATTGGCAGGCAAATTCTTTACCACTGAGCCACCTGGGAAGCCATATAAGTGCTATCATATGATATTTGTGTTTTTCTGTCTGACTAACTTCACGGAATATGATAATCTCTAGATCCATCCATGTTGCTACAAATGACATATTTCATTATTTTTTTTATGACTGAGCAATAGTCCATTGTATATATATACCACATCTTCTTTATCCATTTATCTGTCAGTGGATATCTTCCATGTCTTTTATGGAAGTTTTCTTCCATGTTTTGGCTATTGTAAATAGTGCTGCTACAAACATTGGGGTTCATGTATCATTTTGAATCAGAGTTTTCTCTGGATATATGCCCAAGAGTGGGATTGCAGGATCATATGGTAACTCTCTTTTCAGTTTTTTAAGGAAACTCGGTACTGTTTTCCATTATGGCTGTACCAATTTACATTCCCACCAATAGTGTAGGAGTGTTCTCTTTTCTCCCTCATTTATTATTTATAGACTTTTCAAAAATATATTTATTTTTTTAGCTGTGTTGGGTCTTACTTGCAACACATGGAATCTTCATCTCATCATGTGGAATCTTTTTTTGTGGCACCTGGGCTTAGTTGCTCTGTGACATGTGGCATCTTAGTTCACCAACCAGGAATTCAACCTGCATCCCTTGCATTGGCAGGCAGATTCTTAACCACTCGACCACCAGGGAAGTCTGCACCCTGGAATTTTCTGCATCCCAGGGAAATGCACCATATAATATAGGGGCTGGAAGGTAAAGGGTGGGTGTCTGTAGAAGGGGAACTAGAAAAGTATAACTAGCTGATGTTTTGACCACAGGCAAAAAAAACCCATATGGAAGCTGAAAATTGGGAAGATGATTCCCACCTGTTAAGGCACCCCACTCCTGCATAACACTCTTTAGAAGCCTTCATATACCTCCAAGAGTATGCACAAACTCCATTTAAAGATCATTGTGCTAGGCCAGCAGTGCAAAAGTGCTTAATCCCATCCACTGCCTAGACCTCTGCTTGGGTCAAACCTGCTTGGTGAGCTGGGGTTTTGTCGGGTTCAAATGTGTTTCGTTCATGTAAGTGGATCCCACGATGAAACCTGAGTCATGATGCTTCTTAACCCTACGTACACACTCCAGTTGCTGGGAATAATGAGATGTTCACAGCGTAACTATGTGATTTAACCACAAGCTGAGTTACTCACTGTGGTGCTCTCACTTTTCATTTCCCTCTATCTTGAAGTGCCTATTGCTGTTTATCTTTGGAAATCAAAATTTTTAGTCACAAGTTATGCCTGCTGGGTAACATTTTTACAGCTTTATTGAGATATAATTTATATCATATATAGTTCATCTGTTTAAAATAGATATATTAATGAGGTTTGCAAAGTCGAGTGGGCCTTAGGAAGCATCACTATGAACAAAGCTATTGGAGGTGATGGAATTCCAGTTGAGCTATTGCAAATCCTGAAAATGATGCTGTTAAAGTGCTGCACTCAATATGACAGCAAATTTGGAAAACTCAGTGATGGCCACAGGACTGGAAAAGATCAGTTTTCATTCCAATCCCAAAGAAAGACAATGACAAAGAATGTTCAAACTACTGTACAATTGTACTCATCTCATACACTAGCAAAATAATGCTCAAAATTCTCCAAGTCAGGCTTAAAAAATATGTGACCAGTGAACTTCCAGATGTTCAGCTGGGTTTAAAAAAGGCAGAGGAACCAGAGATCAAATTGCCAACAGCTGTTGGATCATCAAAAAAGCAAGAGAGTTCCACAAAAATATCTACTTCTGCTTTAATGACTATGCCAAAGCCTTTGACTGTGTGGATCACCACAAACTGTGGAAAATTCTTAAACAGATGGGACTACCAGACCACCTGACTTGCCTCCCGAGAAATCTGTGTGCAAGTCAACAAGCCACAGTTAGAACCAGACATGGAACAACTGACTGCTTCCAAATTGGGAAAGGAGTACGTCAAGGCTGTATATTGTCACCTGCTTATTTAACTTATATGCAGAGTACATCATGAGAAAATGCTTTGTCCACCTGATGCGAAGAATTGACTCATTTGAAAAGACCCTGATGATGGGAAAGATTGAAGGTGGGAGGAGAAGGGGACGACAGAGGATGAGATGGTTGGCTGGCATCACCAACTCAATGGACATGAGTTTGAGTAAACTCCGGGAGTTGGTGATGGACAGAGAAGCCTGGTGGGCTGCAGTCCATGGGTTAGCAAAGAGTCAGAAATGACTGAGTGACTGAACTGAACTGAACTGAGGGGTTTAGTATATTTACAGTCATTAATAAGCCCTTTCTAATTGCAGACTAAATTCTTTCTTCCCTCTTGTTCTTTTACTCCCTTTGGTCTATCTCTTCCTTTTTTCCTCTGTTTTGAACTTTACTACTCATGTGTTAGTCCTCCTGAATCAATCCTCTAAGTGTCTTCTACTTTCTGGGTGATTTTCATCTCTGATTTCTTGTGTCTAATTGAGTTACTTTTCCCACTTGATCTTCCAGATAATTAATTTTATTCTGGGCCAACTTCCTTAAATTTGTCTATTACAATTTAAATGTGAAAATGCATGATTTGTAATTTTTAATTATTTAAATGGACTACTTTAAAATAATTCTCCAATCTCATTTGTTTTTACATTTTTCACATTAGACTTTCCACAGTTCACACCAGTGGGAGGCAACTTTCTAGGGGGTTCAACTCAGCTTATCCTTCTGGTTGCTGGGTCCCTTTAGGTAAGAGGATGGTGGTGGTGGTGCTGGTGGTGCTGGGCCTGCATATGGCTCATCATGGCCTCATTGATTAGGATCAACTCTCTGGTTTGCTGACACTTGAGAAACCCAGTGAGTGGTGGAAGGCAGAGCAGTTCCCACTGCTGTGAGTTGTGGTGAACCCACCAAAAACCTGCTAGTTCTTTCCTGAGGACTCTGTCCCAGGTGGAAGCCCTGTTACTGCCTCATGGATTCAGAGCCACTAGCCTTTTTCAACACAGCTCTTCTCTGTCTTCCAAGACCTGTAGGATCAGGTAACCTTCTATCCTAGACCTTGGAAGGGGCATGTGCAGCCCCTGTGGAAGGGGAATTCATGAGAATCTTGGCTTTACCCCAGGTGTTCCTGCCGTGAGCCTCTTGGTAATGTCAGGAATTCTTTCCCTCAATAAAAACAGGAAGCACTTTCTCTCTGCTTCCAAAAGCAGCACTCTCAAGAGTGAAAGTATCAACTAGCACCTTTACTCTGACAAGTAATCCAAGTCAGGAGCAAGTGTAAATGGCATGGATACTGCGACTTTGAGTGACGCCGCCCTGCCCACAGGAAACCACTGCCTGTCATGCTCTGGGTTCTGCATGTGCTATAATGTAATCTCTATGAACCGCAGGCCTAATCCCATGAGCCTGTAAGATCCTGGCAGCTGCCCTCCTTTCTCGTCTCTCCCAATTCAGTTCCGTCAGTCTGGGAGAGTCTTGCAGACATAGGGTTCCTGCTTTGGGCAAAAAGGATTAGAAAAGGGGGAGAGATATGAATGAGGTGTCCAAATTTTACCGTGGAGATTCTGAATGCCAAGTGGATTCCAGCATGGGGTTCTTTCATACAACCGGGAGATTCAACTCAGCGCAGCAGATATCCACTCATGTGCACACACAAGTTCTCTCTGTGATTTAATTTCATGTGTTTATTTCTTAGCTTAAAGACCAACAGAGTTTCTTTCCAACATCTAGTAAAAGCAAGAGAGAAAGAGGAAGTGTCTTCCCCAAGCCTGGCAGAGACCCAAATGAAGCTGGGAGGGGGCTCCTGGGGACGAATGAAAGGACACTCAGATCTCTGGTCCCCCAGGCTGGCTTTCTCTCTGAGGAATGTGGCTCCGTGGCTTCAGCAGCCACTCAGAACCCACTGTGACTTTCTCTCATCTCCATGGTTCCTGAGGATATGGGTCTGTTCCAGGGCCTGGCAGGGCTCCACCTAGGCCTGTGATGGGCTCCGTGATTCCCTCCAGGGCCCCGGCCGAGGTTGGGGCCATGGGGGCGGTAGACAGCTGTGTCAAGGACACTTCTCATGGACAGGGAGTTTCTCTAGAAAAAGAAGGCAGAATCCTTTCAGAATTGGGTCCCCCACCCCCAGCAAGCCTTCACCAGGGATACTTGCTGGAATCTTCTCCCCCTTTAAACCATCTCCCTCACATGGTAGTTCTTTCACCAGTCTTTACAGTCTTTATTTCTTCTTTTGCCCTCCTGCCCCAAAAGTCAATCGTTTCCTCTGCACATTGATTGGTTCCTCTGTTTCTAACTTTCTGTTTCTCTTTAAAACCTTTCTCCTGATCTTTCTTTCCTCCCTACTCACCCCTAACTTGATGGTCCTACTATTCACACTTCATTTCCTTATGTTCCTGCTACTCCTTCCCCCCAGGCACTTTTCTATGTATTAGGCACTCACCACGCAGAAGAAGAGCCCAACAAAGAATCCCATGACCACTACAACTGAGACCAGAGTGATGAGGAAGATTTCCCATGGCTTCAGGGACCCAGTGGGCTTCAGTTCCTCCACTGGAGTTCCAGCACTTGTGCTACTTTTGTTAGACGTTGTGTGTGTTCCAGTTGTAAAAGGTGTATCAGAGCCTCCTGTGATTGCACTGGATCCAGTTTTGGAGGATGTGCTGGCCCCTCCAGAGGTCACGCTGGATCCAGGGTCAGAGGTTGTGCTGGCCCCTCCAGAGGTCACACTGGATCCAGTACTGGAGGCTGTGCTGGACCCTTCAGAGGTCATGCTGGATCCAGTACTGGAGGTTGTGCTGGCCCCTCCAGAGGTCACACTGGATCCAGTACTGGAAGTTGTGGTGGCCCCTCCAGAGGTCACGCTGGATCCAGTACTGGAGGTTGTGGTGGCCCCTCCAGAAGTCATGCTGGATCCAGTGTCAGAGGCTGTGCTGGACCCTCCAGAGGTCACACTGGATCCAGTACTGGAGATTGTGCTGGCCCCTCCAGAGGTCATGCTGGATCCAATACTGGAGGTTGTGCTGGCCCCTCCAGAGGTCATGCTGGATCCAGTGTCAGAGGTAGTGCTGGTCCTTCCAGAAGTCATGCTGGATCCAGTACTGGAAGTTGTGGTGGCCCCTCCAGAGGTCATGCTGGATCGAGTACTAGAGGTTGTGCTGGCCCCTCCAGAAGTCACGCTGGATCCAGTGTCAGAGGCTGTGCTGGACCCTCCAGAGGTCACGCTGGATCCAGTACTGGAGGTTGTGCTGTCCCCTCCAGAGGTCACGCTGGATTCAGTACTGGAGGTTGAGCTGGCCCCTCTAGAGGTCATGCTGGATCCAGTGTCAGAGGTGGTGCTGGTCCTTCCAGAAGTCACGCTGGATCCAGTACTGGAAGTTGTGGTGGCCTCTCCAGAGGTCACGCTGGATCCAGTACTGGAGGTTGTGGTGGCCCCTCCAGAAGTCACGCTGGATCCAGTGTCAGAGGCTGTGCTGGACCCTCCAGAAGTCACACTGGCTTCAGTACTGGAGGTTGTGCTGGACCCTCGAGAAGTCATGCTGGATTCAGTACTGGAGGTTGAGCTGGATTCACTGGAGGTCCCTTGGGATCCAGCATTAGTGGCTGTGCTAGGACTACCATGGATCGTGCTGGATGCAGTGTTCGAGGCTATACTAGTCTCACTGGAGGTTGCACTGGATCCAGTAGTGGCTGTAGTGGGTTCACTGGAAGTTGGGCTGGATTCATTGTTGACAGTTGTACTAGTATTACTGGAGGTTATGCCTAATGATAATTATAAATGATGACATATATTGAGCATTTATACCTTCTGCTCAACGCCTGGTTAAATTCATTACCTGGATAATTCTATTTAATGTTTCACTACAGCCCAATGAAATAGATATTATTATTATCAACAGCTAAGATGAAAAAATTGAGGCTTAGAAATGTCGACACTTGCCCAAGTTTATACAGCTAGTAAGTAGAAGAACAGGAATTTGAACCCAGGCTATTGAATCTGCATTTTTAACCACCAAACTAGGTCATCCTCCACATCCACCTCTAAAACCAGGGTTACATGACCTAATTTCACTGAGAATGAGCTTATTCCATCAACTATTGTACAATATTTAACACAGATAAAAAGTATTATAAAGGAATTGTAGAACCCAGGTGAAATGTATATATTGGCTAATTCATTTTTAAATTGGTATAACTTCTTTCTTGAAAAATATTTCTGAGTGTTATTCAGAAACCATCTGTATCAGAATTATCTGGGAAGCTTGCTGAAAATAAAGATTTCTAGGCAAACCACATCAGACTAAATGAATCAGAATCTGAGATGGGACTAGGTATCTGGGTGATTATATATGTATTCAAGTTCCAGGAGCTCCTGATCACAAGGCAAAGATTGGAAAAGAACAAGTTATATGTAGCTGAAATATAAAAGATCTCCCAGGATTAAGGTCTGCAAATCAAAATCTACAGGTACAGGGAAGTATTTCCACCTTCCTGAAGGCTCAAGTGGAGTTAAGTTTGTGCCTGTTTTTTGCCTCTCACTACCTTGAAGGACAAAGACACTCAGGCTCCCCACATAAAATTTATCTCATTTCTAGTTCATTTTACTACTAACTTGGACATGAGTGCCTATCACCTCAGCCCACACAGGTGTGTTTTTACCTCAGGCTTATTTGAACTAACATAGGATTAGAAAGAAAGAAAGCGCTAAATTGTGTCTGACTCTTGGTATCCCATGAACTATAGCCTGCCAGGCTCCTCTGTCCATGGGATTCTCCAGCAAGCATACTGGAGTGGGTTGCCATTTCCTTCTCCAGGGGAACTTCCCAACCCAGGAATTGAACCCAGGTCTCCTGCACTGCAGGTAGACGTTTTATGTACTGAGCTATATAATATACGATTAGAACTTAGCTCTCTTTGGGGAAAGCCCCGCTCCCCCCTAAAGTCTGCAATGGAGTACAAATTGGAGTTAAGATCAGAATCATAAGTAAAACTAAATAAGAAACTGGGATGAGGACTTCCTTGTGGTCCAGTGGTTGAGAGTGTGCCTGCCAATGCAGGGGCACAGGTTCGATCCCTGGTCTGCAATGATTCCAGGTGCCACAGGGCAACTAAGCCCACTTACCACAACTAAGCCCATGTACCGCAACTTCTGAAGCCTGCATACTCCAGAGCCCTCAAGCCGCAGCAAGATAAGCTACCACAATGAGAATCCTGAGCAGAGCAACTAGAGAGTAGCCCTCACTTGCTATAACTAGAGAAAGCCTGCTCACAGCAAGGAAGACCCAGCACAGCCAAAAACAAATACATACATAAGGTATAATTTTTAAAAAGAAACTGAGATAAACAAGAGTAGGGGTGACATGTAAAAGAGGAAATGGCTTTGATCTGAGAAGTTTTGAAGAACAGAATAGGTGCATCAAAATTCTACGAGGGCTAATTTTGATTCAAAATGATGAATTCTCAGGGAGTTCCCTGATGTCTAGTGGTTAGGATTCAGCACTTTCACTGGCAAATGGCTCAGGTTCATTCCCTGTTTGGGGAACTGAGATCCTGCAAGCCATGTGGCACAGCCAAAATAAAAATTAAAGGATTCTCTAAGAAGTCATGCTTTCTAGTTGCACAATAGAAGATGGTCCAAGGAGTGTTTAATAGAGTGTCAGAAGTGTGGAACAGAGTAGGAGTTAGTTTTGACTCTTAAATCCTTTTCTCCTTGGTCTGAGGCTGACTTAGGCTGACTGGGGAATCAGGGTTAAGGACAGGAGAAAAATTAAGTCTATAGAATATAGAAGAGGGATATTTTTAAATAAGTCAATTCTTCTTGTTATTAATATTTAGCCCTCTAGCCATATCTCATGGATTATTGCCATTTTATAGATGCATAAACTGAGGCACAGAGCAGCTAACTAACCTAAAGTGCATAGATAATAGATGGAGCCATGATTCAAACACTGACAACTGGACACCAAAGTCCACAGTTCTAAGCACTGTGCTTGACTGCCTCCTAGGTGATACCTTATTACACTGAAGTGACTAGAGTGAAATGACCCTCAGTCTATGGAGGAAAACCAGAGCTGTTCCTAATGGTGATCATCATCTCCCATAATCTCTCAAAAGTTCACAGACCACCCACCTTTAAAGAAAAGCACTCACCATGTTGTAATAGTAGGAGATGCAACAGTAAGCAATACTTAAGGCGAATGTTTCTTTTCTGCATCTTGATCTTCCTCTTCCTGGCTGGTAAACAAGGTGCTTGGATCCCAGATGTGGCCAAGACCTAGAAGGCAAAGAATAGTATCTTGAGAAAGGAGAGTTCAAGGTGAAGAGATAAAGGCTGGAGCTTCTAAGAGCTTAGGTCTTCTAAATATATGTTCTTGGAAAGAATCTTGAGCTTGAGTGGTGGGAGATGAGAGGCCTAGGCTACTTAAGCTTTCTTCGCACGATGTTGTTGCCTCTTTCTTTATCATGGATAAGCTTCAGGGGCCTTTATAGCTTCAAATAGGTTGGGGAGGAGTTGGGAAATCGACCTGTTTTTCAACCAACTATGAGCAAGTAACAAAACAATACTGAGTCTGGGAAGAAATAGACTGGGGGGTCAAGAGGAAGGTGAGAAAGGAGAATGATATGATCACAGTAGGCAGGGCATTGGGCTGGGTTTGAGCAGGAAGTAGGATTGGATAAAGAAATCAAGATTGTCAGAGTGGAAGGGACCCACCCTTGAGGCAAAAACGGGGTCAGAAACCTGTTCCAGTTCACGACTTTGTATCCTAGTTGCGAAGTGCTGTGTGTTTGTTTTAGCATGAAAGAAACCCTAACAGACTGAGCTGAAGGGGCAGGACCCCACATCTCCGAATCAAAAAAATATGAGACTTCAAAGAGAGTAGTAACTAGGGATCTGGGCTCCTGGGATACAGGCAGAAGACAGATGGTGCATTGCTGAGTATGCAGTAGGCACTCAACAATGCAAAATGACTGAACAGGGAAAGAGAGACCCATGGGCAATGTAGTTATCTTTGGGGTCTCTAAGACATGGGGGATGAGGGTGGGAGAGACTGTTGAATATGCAGGAACAAACTACTTGTCATATTCATAGCAGGTGAAGGGGTGATATAGGCCCTCCCTTTTAAAAATTTTATTGAAGTATAGTTGACTTACAATGTTGTGTTAATTTCTGCTGTAAAGTGATTCAGTTACACAGATATATAGATTCTTTTTCATACTCTTTTTCACTATGATTTAATACAGTTTCTTGGCCTATACAGTAAGACCTTGTTCTTTATCCATCCTATGTAGAATAATTTCTATCTGCTAATCCCAAACTCCCAATCTTTCCCTCCCTACCCCCAAGGGCCGCCTTTTGAACCATAGGGGTTCCCTTCTTGTTTGTCTTCAGAGTAATTCACAGGAGCTTTTCCTTCCTGGGACCCTTCAAATGTTCCTTCTCATCAGCCTTAATGAAGCATCTCCCAGGAGGGTATAGCATGGGAACCATATCAGGAGACCTCAACTCTGTTGGGGGAGGGAGATACATGGTCCAGGTTCCTTAGGAACTTCGAGCTGGGTGTGGACGCAGATCCAGCAGGAGAAAGGACATGCAGTTGGCTAAATGAGCATGACTGAAGCGATGCAAATGAGTGGAGGGTTTGAGGAGTTCACGGAGAAGACTTCTTGGGGCCAGGGCAAGGGGGTGAGGTTGATGGGAGTTCCAGGGCTGTCCGCAAGATCAAAGTCAACTGTCTCCATTCCCTGTCAGTGAGGAGAAGCTTCATGGAAGAGGAGACATCTCGGGTAGTTTATTTATAGGTGAACGGGCATCTTTAACATGTCAGATCTGCTACAAAGAAGCTGGCAAGCAGGAGGTGGCTGGAAACATGAAGGTGCTTGGAATAATTGAGTCTGAGAGTCAGAAGGGAAGAGTGTGCTGGGAAAGGCTTGCATGAACGCCTGGATGGTTTCTGAGGCTGAGGTGTGAGGTGCCAGTCAGGGATGGGTGGGTTTCTGGACCCCCAGTAATCCTGTCCTGTGGCCAGAAAGCCAATAGCACCCTAAGAAAGAAAACTTCTTCCCTCTAGAATTATTTGGAGGAGGAGGTAGTGAATTCAATTCCAGATTTCACCTTTTAGAGTTTTCCTAAAAGACATGCATACTTATCAGTCTAAATGTAATTAATATCTTTATGCTCCTTCAAACAATATAAGGACCTTGGAACACTTTCATTCTTATTACATCTTATTATGTCTCCCAACTCATACTCTTACATTATCAAGTATGTTAAATCTATATTGTTTGTTTTTTTTTAACTTCACAAGAGATTATTGCTTACACACCATAAGAATATAGTCACACAGTTGACCTTTGTTGGCAAAGTAATGTCTCTGCTTTTTAATACACTGTCTACGTTTGTCATAGCTTTTCTTCCAAGGAGCATGTCAGTTCAGTCGCTCAGTCATGTCCAATGCTTTGTGACCCCATGGACTGCAGCACACCAGGCTTCCTGTCCATCACCAGCCCAAGAGTTTGCTCAAACTCATATCCATCATGTCGGTGATGCCATCCAACCATCTCATCCTCTGTCATCCCCTTCTCCTCCTGTCTTCAATCTTTCCCAGCATCAGGGTTTTTTCAAATGAGTCAGTTCTTCGCATCAGGTGGACAAACTATTGGAGTTTCATCTTTAGCATCAGTGCTTCCAATGAATATTCAGGACTGATTTCCTTTAGGATTGACTGGTTGGATCTCCTTGCAGTGCAATCTTGATCCCAGCTTGTGCTTCATCCAGCCTGGCATTTCTCATGATGTACTCTGCATATAAGTTAAATAAGCAGGGTGACAATATACAGCCTTGACGTGTTTCTTTCCCAATTTGGAACCTGTCTGTTTTTCCATGTCTGGTTCTAACTGTTGTTTCTTGACCTGCATACAGATTTCTCAGGAGGCAGGTAAGGTGGTCTGGTATTCCTATGTCTTGAATTTTCCACAGTTTATTGCGATCTACACAAAGGCTTTGGCATAGTCAATAAAGCAGAAGTAGATGTTTTTCTGGAATTCTCTTGGTTTTTCGATTACCCAGTGGATGTTGGCAATTTGATCTCTGATTCCTCTGCCTTTTCTAAATCCAACTTGAACTCACCATTCATAAACTGTTGAAGCCTGGCTTGGAGAATTTTGAGCTTTACTTTGCTAGCGTGTGAGATGAGTGCAATTGTGCAATAGTGTGAACATTCTTTGGCATTGCCTTTTTTTGGGATTGAAAGGAAAACTGACCTTTTCCAGTCCTGTGGCCACCACTGAGTTTTCCAAATTTGCTGACATATTGAGTGCAGTGCTTTAACAGCATCATTTTTAGGATTTGAAATAGCTCAATTGGAATTCTATCACCTCCACTAGTTTTGTTCATAGTGATGCTTCCTAAGGCCCACTTGATTTCAAAAATGTTTTTTAATTTCATGGCTGCAGTTGCCATCTTTCATTGATTTTGGAGCCCAAGAAAATAAAGTCTGTCACTGTTTCCATTGTTTCCCCGTCTATTTGCCATGAAGTGATGGGACCAGATGCCATGATCTTAGTTTTCTGGTTGTTGAGTTGTAAGGCAGCTTCTTCACTTTCTTCTTTCACTTTCATCAAGAGCTCTTTAGTTCCTCTTCACTTTCTGCCATAAGGGTGGTGTCATCTGCAAGTCTGAGGTTATTGATGTTTCTCCTGGCAATCTTGATTCCAGCTTGTGCTTAATCCAGCCTGGCATTTCACATGATGTATTCTGCATATAAGTTAAATAAGGCATATATATATATATATACCATTATCTAATATAATGGTATATAGTCACACAGCTACAGTAAGCTGCAAGAGAGTCTGGGAAATATAGTCCTTTGCTGGGTGGACATGTGCTCAGCTAAAACTTAAGAATTCTATTGTCAAAGATGGAGAGTGGATATTAGTAGACAACCATAAAGCTATGACAATACTTAGGATTTTTTGTGGATCTGATCCTGCTGTTTGTTTTGTTTTGTTTTGTTGCTGGCTTTCACTTGTGGTACCTCATTAGTGCTTTGAGATTTATGACTATAAATTTATTTTTCTTGCGTTATTATGTGTGTAAGTCCTTTGAAACCCGAAATGAGTTCTGACTCTCCACAGTAAATTTGCATGTTTTTGCCAAGCATAGGGAGGTAATACCACTTGAAGATTCCTTTAAATTAAATCATAGGCTTGAGTTCTTTTGAATTATCAAGTTTGCATGATTTGGGGCTGCAAACCATGTAAAGTATTGTGTACAAATTGTTTCTCAAAAGGTATTTCCCCATCCTTCCTTCCTCTGCATTGATTTTAGAGGCAGACGATTTTGCTCACATTTCCTTAGAGGAAGAGTGGGTTAGTTTTTACACTCTCTCTGAAGGTTTCAGTTTTATGTGACGGTCTATGTAGAGAGTCCTTACTTGGGTCAGTCTGACTGAGGCTGTGCTACCGGAAGCTTCAGTTCACTGGTTGGGCAAACGTTGGCTTGAGTATTCCCCTTGCTCCTTGGGTTCCTACTTTAACTTTAGTCTTTCCTTTTAGCATTCCTTATTGTCCTGCTGAGTCACTGATACATCTAAGGAGAAGTTTTAGTCCACCACCTTTAGTTTTTCAGTGTATTTTAAGTCAAGGCTGGGAGCCCATTTTAGAGCCAGACATTTAAGTTTTCACTGGATTGTTCTGAGAAATAAGTGATGATGTATTTAAAGGCAAAGCACAGTGTTTGGTGGAGGCTTTCCTGGTGGCTCTTTACTGCTCAGGTGGTAAAGAATCCGCCTGCCAATGCAGGAGACGTGGGTTTGATCCCTGGGTCAGGAAGATCCCCTGGAGAAAGAAATGGCAACCCACTCCAATATTCTTGCAGGGAAATTCCATGGGCGGAGAAGCTGGGCAGGTTACCGTCCATGGGGTGGCAAAAGAGTTGCACATGACTTAGCGACTAAACAACAACAATGTTTTGTACATAATAAGCAAGCAATAATAAAGGACAAAGGAAAAGCATAGATATATAGATGCTAAGTGTATTTTGAGATTTTAATTGTAGCACATGGCAGTGATTTTCTCCTTACTTGTCATATAGCATTTGGAAAAGACAAAGTGGGGAGTGAGAATCTCCCCGAAAATAAAGGAGACCTGGAGGATATGAGTAGGTCAAAGGTGGCTTTCTGTCTACCCAGTTTGTATGATTTGGAGCTACAAACCCAAACGAAGAATGTCATGCAATTACTAATTTTCAGGGGAGGTTTTTAACTCCTTCCACTCAGTGGCAAGTTTAGAGACAAACATTTGTGTCAATCGCCAATACGCAAAGTGGGCAATACAATCTCATTCTATTTAACCACAACACTGAGGCTTTAACCGTTTTAGGTCTCAGCTTTCTTTAGAGTCTCCTGTTAGACTCCACACCTTATGTAGGTCCTGGACTTTGTTTTCTGTACCTTACGTGCAAAGAAACTGTGAAAAGGTAAGTTTAAACACAAATATGATAAATGCCTTCAATATGAAGGTTGGTTCAAAGCTTTCTTCAGCCTCTCTGAGTCTCCGCATTCTCTTGGTTGCTGATCTAAATATTACTTACTATCTACCCAGCTGATTGATAGTTTCTACCCAGGTGACTGACACATTTACAAAGATTTTTTTCAATATTTTATCCAGCAATGTTGCTTTCATTAAGAGGGGTGGTTAATGCATCCTGTCCACTAGTAGAAAAGTAGAAGTTCTCAAAAGATTGTTTTGAGATTACAATTTCAAACTTGTTAAATGATAGTACATTTAAAGTTACCTAGTACAGTGCTAAGCACATAGTAAGCACTCAGTAACAAAGGGGAAAAGGAGGGGAAAGAAAGAATGCTCAAACAGGTAAACGAAAAATAAGTCATCTTGCCACCAGAAATACGAGTTGGTGTGTTTTTTTAAACTATAATAATGTTATCCTTCTTCCTGCCAGTCACATTGTGTCCTGAGGAAATAAAAAACAATTCCAAATTGAAAAGGGCACAGGTGATTACTTGTGCATTACTAAAGCAGAGAAATTGTTGCATGGTTGGTCACTGTGACTTCTTAAGAGGTTCTGAACTATGGTGAAGCTTTGGAAGTATCTTAATTTGAGCTCATGTCCAAATATGATGAGGCTGCTGGTCTCCTCCAGAACACTCTGTGTTCCTGGCTGTTCTGCCTCTGTGACCTCTGTCTTTTCTCTGGCTCTTGTTTTTTGTTTTTTTACCTTGCTCATGACCATCTCCATGGCCAGTTCTCTGAAGACCACTGGAAGCCCATCTCGACCCATTTTATAATCACTCCCCTCTCTTCTATAACCCCCTTCTTCTGCAATATTTCCTTTTCCAAAGCCTCCCTCATATCCAGTCTATGTCCACACTCCCCCTTCCTCTTAGTTTTCCTTGGTGGCCTTGTCTGTGATCCACTTTATGTCCCTCGTCATGGCTCCCTCTATGTCTTTGACTCCCTCCAGGATTCATGCCATAACCACCTCCTTCGTGGTTGTTCTTCAGTTGCTCAGTCGTGTCCAACTCTTTGCAACCTCGTGGACGGCAGCATGCCCGGCTTCCCTGTCCTTCATCAATTCGTGGAACTCTCCATGGCCTACCCTGTATCTAAAGCCTATGCTCCTCCATGAACCAGTTCATTTTCTAGGCCATGGAACATTCCAGAGCCCAATCCTGAGTCAAGGTCCAGACCAATGCCACTTCTGTGGTCATGGAGGTTGTAAATGCCTCTTTTTCATCAGGGAAATAGAAATGTCCTTCTAGGGGCTTCCCTGGCGGCTCAGTGGTAAGGAATCCACCTGCCAAAGCAAGAGACACAGGTTCGATCACTGATCGGAGAAGATCCCATATTCTGCGGAGCGTCTAAGCCCATGCCTACAACTATGGAGCCTGTGCACTAGAGCCCAGATGCTACAACTACTGAAGTCCGTGCATCCTACTAGATTCTGTGCTTCACAAGAGAAGCCCGAGCACCACAACTGGAGAGTAGCCCCTGATCTCCACAACTAGAGCAAAGCCCACACAGCAACAAAGACCCAGCACAGCCAAAAATAAATAAATAAAATTATTTTAAAAATTCTTATTAAAGGAGAAAATTATATAATTAAAGTTAAATCTTTTTCTTTCAGATCTTTAAAACTTGGATTGCCAAAAATCACACATTTTCTCTTTTTATCCATTCTTTGTGTGTGTCTCTCTTCCTCTTATTTATTTATTTATTTTTTCAGCATCTCTGAGAAAACAGCCTTCCTGATTACTGCACTTACATATTCTCTATGTGAATGCTACAATCATTGCTCTCTACCTTGGCAAATCCACAGCCAAGAGTAGAGTCTCCCAGAAATAGGGAGGCTTTCATTGTGTTTATCAACCAAGAAAGTCACATGTTGATGAGGGCAGGTAAAAACAAGAAGCTTATGAGAGTTCATAAATTAGAAGTCAGAATAATACTTAGTTGGTTGGGCAGGTATTGACAGGAAGTAGACACCAGAAACTACTCAGATGTTAGGAATGTTCACTATTTTGAATGGGTTGGTGGTTATTCGGGTACGTACACATTTTTAAAGTAATTAAGGTGTACACTTGAGATCTGTGCACTTCTTGTAGGTTATACTTCAATTATTTTTTAAGATAAAGGAAGGCCTATTAAGAACTAAAAGTTGAAGAACCAGCTTTAAACACCGAGGCTAAGAGCACAGACTCTCCTGTGAAGCAGACTTGGGTTAGAGCCCCAGTTCTGTCACCACCTCGCCCTGTGATCTTCAACAAGCACCTTCAGTCTCTGACTCCAGTGTCTAGCCTGTAAAATGGAATAATAAGAGTACAAACCCCAAAGGTGAGTAAGCAGAATTAAGGAGAAACAATGCTTTCTTGTACTTTAGACCAGGACCTCGCACCTAGTACACAGTTAATAAAGTACTAGTTATTATTATTACATCTTTACCTTAAACAATTAGAGGATCGTTCATGGCTAGTAAGTCACATTTTGTTCTCCCCACTGGGAGGGATCAGAGAATCTGAAATAAGAAATGCAAGTATGTTGATTATAAATTATGCCAGCCATTTGTGGCTGGTGTGTGGATTTTTCATTTATTTATTGTGTATTTATTCTGGCTTATCCTACATACATTGAAGTATACTTTAGGAGTATATACTGCCAAAAAAGGAAAGTGTATATATATGTATATTTTTTTTTTAAATTTTTTGTCTGCACTGGGTATTTGTTGAGGTGTATGGGCTTCTCTATAGTTGTGGCTCATGGGCTTATAATAGTTGCCCTGTGGCATGTGGGATCTTAGTTCCTCAACCAGGGATCACACCCACATCTCCTGCATTGGAAGGTAGATTCTTAATTACTGGACCACCAGAGAAGTCCCTAGAAAGTATAAATATATTTTTAAAAAATAAAACAAGAGGGATATATTAGAGGGTTAAGACTAGGATGGAGAATAGAATGCAGAAATTCTTTCTGCCACTGGCATGTGGCTGTCACTCTTGTCCCACCCCCAGAGAATTGTAGGGGGCTTTAGGCCTCCAAATAGGTCAGCTCTCAAAGCTCAGAAGCCTCCTCTATACAAGAACGGGTGTTTCCGGGGCTCTGTCCTTGCTAAGGGCATTTTCTTGTTATTCTCCCTTAGTGTGTTCAACTTATTTGTGTAAGACATAGTTTTGGCGAGGCAGAAAAGGAAAGACGACCTCAACAGAAGTAGGTTACCTTTATTCAGGCAAGGAGGGGCGACAGTTGGCCTAACGACCAGGCTGAGCGCCGCCGAAAGGGATCAGGGAGGCTTCATACTTATAGGGAGGTTTGTGGAAGCGATAAGGGAAGCGTCAATCAGGCGGGATATTTTGAGTATTCTTTTGTTGAGATGACACTTGTAGTTGGGCAGGGGGTGATAAGTCTTCTGGGCGGGTGGAGGGGGTGGTAGGTTTCCGGACAGGGGGTGATAAGTCCCAGATAGATGCAACTGGCCTGGAGCATCAGGATGGAACTAAAGTTATGCTTTGTTTTCTCCGAAGTTAGATGATTCAGCAAAGGGCCTTTGAGACTGTTGTTCTCTTTTCTAGGCCCAAAAGACTCCTTCAATTTGAGGTGTGCTAAGAGGTACCCCTGGTGGCTCAGACGGTAAAGAATCTGCCTTGCAGTGCAGGAGACCCACGTTTAAAGCCTGTGTCGGGAAGATCCCCTGGAGGAGGGCATGGCAACCCACTCCAGTATTCTTGTCTGGGAAATCCCCTGGACAGAGGAGCCTGGTGGGTTACAGTCCTTGGGGTCACAAAGAGTCAGACATGACAAGAGTGTCTAACATACACACACACAAGAGGCACCCACAAAAGTGAATTTCTTTTCACTTGGGTAAAATCATAAAAACAGGAGAAAAGAGCCCCTTACTCTCATCCTGGGAATTAGCATGTGGGGATATCTATGATAGTGAAAAATCTGTTGGGGGCCAAATGTTCATCCCTTTCTAAAGATCCCCTTTTTTAGTGCATAGTTCTAGCTTTTTTTTTTTTTTTTTTTACTGCTAAATGTTATTTTATTTACAGTCACATTCTTGGATGGGTGTGTTCAACATGAATGGCAGCCACACTTGAGGATCTACCTGGGAGTACCAAAATGAAAATCACAGCCAGACATCACCTTAAAATTACTGGGATTCAGGACGTAGGGAAGATGTTTTGAATTTATAGTGCTTCATACTCCATTCTAGACTTACACCCAGATCTGTGCATAAAGGTCAGGTCACATCAGTTATTAAAATATTAAAATTCTTCTCTATCAGTTGATAAATAACCACTGTACACAGCCCCCTGAGCAAAGTCCCTCCAATCAAAGACCTTCCCTCAGGACCCCAGGACTTGCCACAATCAGATGAAAGAAATAACCCTGACACAGTAAGATTCTTCTTAGGCTCTGCACCAAAACCAAGGCCTGTGCCATTCTGCTGGTAAATATTTTAAATTTTGCTCCTGAAATGAGAAATGGAGAACCTGAGTGGACTGGATTTTAGATAAGATCAATTTAAGAAATGCCCCTTTTTATATGTGCTTTGGATCCTTTACAAAATCATAGTGGAAGACAGACTCTATTATGAGTCTACTGTCTCATTACAGGATTCATGTGATAAATTTCTTGATTTCTTTGAGAGTGCCTTTTTTCTGGAAATGCAATTTGCTTCTCAGGAAATCTCTTGTGTCTTTAGTTTGGCAGACGGAATACATTACAGTGTAGTCTTTTTGCTTTGTCTTTTAGGAATTACAGAATTAAAATTAACACTCAGTTTTAGTTCCAGCTATTTTTTTTAAAAAAAGATATGCTTTCCTTTGTCCTCGCCTCTATCCACACCACACAGACTCACGTACTTACCTCTCTTGTGCCCCCACTTCGTTTTCTTTTTTTCTACTTCTTGCTATATAATCTATCATTTATATTTTCTGTTTTGCTCCCTTGTGTGGCCTTTGTATTAAGTCATGTGAGAAAGTAAAAATCTGATGGAGAAGGTAACAAGTCTATCTTACAGTTCACCAGGCTGGGATGACAATGTAGATCAAACGAGATGCAAAGATCACTGAAAGTATTTTTCCCAAGGACATGCTGCAGCTGTGAAGCATCAAAACAGCCCCCTTCTTTGAAAGACTTACTCACTTTCGATGATTTTGTCAATGAAAAATTTAGTTTTGTGAAATCATAGACTATCGCAAATTTGCCATTTGAAATTTTATCAGTAAGAAAGCCCATTCTTATCTGGAGAATCTAAGTTACTCTGCCATAGAGAAGCAGCCTGGAATTTCTACCACCAGGGGAGATGAGACTTTCTGAATAACATTCCAGGTCTCTTGTAACTTTGTAGTTTCCATAGAAACCGGGTCTACTTCACAGTCTCCAGTTGCTGTGGATCCTTGTACACACAGTTCTGCTTTGTTCTAAGCTTATTAAAACTGCTTCATTTAGCTTGCACCCAAACTCCATGCTTTCCTCAACACTACAGTGCCTCTTCCTTAGTTGGTAAGAAGCTCTTTAGTCCCTCTAGTGTACAGTCTCCTTTGGTGCAACAAGCCAATAAATCTGACTTAGTGAGAATACAAGTTTGCTCCTGCTGCGCTGGTGTTGATGAGGCTAGCATTTGTGTGCCTTGCCACACACTGCTTTCTAGTTCTGAATATCTTACTGGTCCCAGCTCTATTATTCCATTTCCATTCATGATCCATCTTCTAGGTGGGTCCCCTCATCTCCATGCACAGTAATTCACCAGACAAAACTCAGTCCTGCGTTTGTCCAACTCAGCCAGGGCTGCAGCCAGAGAATGAGGGTGATGCCTCAGGGCTGCAAATATCCACTTGGTTGAAGCACATGTGTTGGCATGTGGATCACACTAACTGTGTCTGTGCCCGTGCCGACAGGGCTTGTTTCAAGGGAGATGGTGCTGGTTCCAGGACTGGTGGTTGGCTCATGGGGACATCCTGTCCTGGGGGTCCTAGTCCCTGCCACTGTGGTGGTGGATGATGCTCCAATAATGGATGTGCCCAGGCCAGAGGTATATGGGGCATCAGGGTTATCCCAGGGATGTGGAGTTCTCTCCAGGAGCTGGGGTGACAGAGATGCGGGTATCTGGGTTCTGTTGCAGGGATCCTAGTGCCTAGGAAATAGATTACCCAACATGATGCACTTGTAGTGGAGAAAATTAATGGAGAGGCAGGTGTACTTAGAGCAGAGGTTGACTCTAACACAACTGTGGTGCTGGTTGGAGGGGAAGTGTTGTGGTGGGAAGAGAGACAGTAGAAAGTGATCCTCCCGAGGCCACAGTTCCCAAATAGAGATGAGTGTCTTACAGAAGAGGAGGTAGAATACGTGCATGGATGGTACTGAGGATGGTGGAGGCAGAAGATTGAGGAAATGTGCCCATGGCTGATGGAGAAGTGGGAAATCTATTCAATTATGGAAGTGGCCACCCACAGAGAAGAGGGTGTGTGGGGATAAAAGGAACAGGGTCTGATACTCTTGTGATCTAGTCACTGGGTATAAGGATAGTGCTGGAGGACGAGATGACAGAATAAGATTTACCCAGGGATGAGGCAATGGTCGTGACTTGGAGCAGAGGTGATATAATTGAACACAGTCATGGTGATCAAGAAAGTCGAGCTGAGTGTGTTCCAAATAGATGTGGAAGAACCTGACCCACATGAAGAAGATGGTGACCCCAGGGACTGGGGCGGGAGGAGGGGGGACTCAGACAAGGAGGGAGGACCTGATACAGAAGAGGCATTAGAGATGGTGGTGTCCGCAGCAATGTTGTGTTTAGATGAGAAGTGGCTACGCTGATAGAACAGTCTCAGTCACTGGAATAGCAGAAAGTGTCAGAACAAAGTGGGTAGAATCAGTTCCATTATGAGTGCTGATGGCAAGTGCAGAGATGGGTTTTTTATTTTATAGCAAGTGCCAGAGTATGAAAAAAAAAAAAACTAGTTTTGGTCTTGGACTAGAACAAGGTTGGCAAACTCTTCCTATAAAGAGCTAGATGGTAGATTTTTAGGCTATTTGGTCACAGTCTCTGTCACAATTATGCAAAGTAACTGGAAAGCAGCTATAGATGTAAACAAATAGGTGTGGCTGTGTTCCAGCACTTTATTTAGAAGACAAATAACAAGCAAGATTTGACTTGTGAAGTATCCTTTGCATCCCCTGGACCAATACCAATACTCAGTATTTTGAGGTGGCCACAGTAGTTTCAGAGGCCTGGGTGGGCACAGACTCCACAGGGGTTCCTGAGGCTATGGTAGAAGTGATGGTGGGTGGTCTCAAAGCCTGTGGTGGGTTCATTGGTGGAGACCGTGATGGGCACAGATGCCAGCATGGAGGCTGTGGTGGTCTCAATGGGCACTGTGGTAGCTGTGGAGGGCACAGAGGTTTTAGTGGAGACTGCTGTGGTATCAGAGGCTGTGTAAGCAGCTGTCCTCCTCAGGGTTGGGGGCGGAGGCCATGGTGCCCTTAGATGTTGTGGTCCTGATGGTGGAGGCTATGGTGGACACGAATGTTGTTGCTGAGGCCCAGTAGTCTCTGAGACTTTGGAGGAGGCCTGGGTGGATTCAGAGATGACAATAGAGGGTGCCGGAACTTCCCTGGTGGTCCAGTGGTTAAGACTCTAGCGCTTTCAGCACAAGAGGCTGGGGTTCGATCCCTGGTCAGGGCACTAAAATTCCACAGCTTTCCTACACAGCCAAAAACTAAGTCATGGGCGTGTCGTGGGCACAGATGTTACCTGGAGGTTGTGGGGCTCTCAGAGACTGTGGCTGAGGCCAAGAGAGGGGACTCGCCTGAAACAGCCCCCCTGCCCGCCTTCTCCCTGGTCAGAGGGGCTTCCGGGTGGTTGGAGGGCATCAGCCGGAGCCCACCAGGCCGGGCGTTCAGCTGGGGGAAGCCAGGGTGGTGAATCTACAGTGAGGGACTGTCGCCCTCTGGTGCCGCCCTCCGCCAGACGGTGAGCCGGATTCGGGTTCCGCAGCCGTAGGTCAAGTGGGGCCTCCAGGGACGGAGGGCCGCGTCCCCGCCTGGGGCACCCAGTGCCCGGGCTGCTCAGGCTCCCCCTCTGCTCTCGCACCCGGAGCCCCCTCCAGCCCTTGGGGTCTTGGGCACCCCCGGCCAGGGCAGTGCTCTCCTCTCCCCCGGGACTGGGGCCCCCGGGAGCGGGGGGCAGCTATAAGCCGGTGAGCCGGGAGCCGATTCCTTGGCTTGCCGCTCACTCCCTAAGTAATTTTTCCTAACCCGAGCCCAGCTCCAGAGCTTGTTAAAGGACTTGTCCTTAGATTTCCAAGTGATCATTATCCTGGAAGAGACAAGTGGGAAGGAAGACATTCAAGGCCGCGCCCTGGGGCCCAGAGTCCCTGTTTGCTTTGGGGAGATGAAGAACCTCCCCCACTCCCCCAAACGGGCGCCCTTTGACCCCGAGTGCTCCATTTTGGTACCTTGAGGGGGAGGCATTGGTCGGGTTGGCTGTTTTGCTTTGTTTTGTTTGAGTTCTTTGATTAGGGTCCCGGCTGGGAAAATTCAGTGTTTAAGAGTCTGGGGTTAGAGGTATCTGCTTTCCTCCCAGGGTGGGTGACCTCCTGTCCTGGCAGCTGTCACGTGATCAGTCACCATCTGCCAAGAGTCTGGAACCCTAGCTGCCTCCTCCCTTTTTCCTACAGCACCCCAGCCTTCTCTGGGAACCAGGCATCCCTCTCTGGCTCCAGGCTCTCTCTAGACACACATGTTGGGGCTCCCTCTGCACCTGGCTTGCCTGCTTTTCAGAACCCACGTTACGGATCTGCAGCAGGAGATGCAGAGAGCTCCTCAGGCCTGAGGGCCCTCCCAGCCCAGAGCTGGGTCTTGGCAGATGACCCAGTGACAGGAGGATCCAGACCAGGACTGGTGTCCGTGATGGCCTTCCAGCCTCCCACAAAGGGGGTTGCCAAAAAGCTGCCCACGACCCTGCTGCTTGATTCTGGACTGAGTCAAGGTTGGAAGGCCTTTGGCAAACTAGAGAGCCTTTCTCTTGCCTTTCTCTTTCACTCTTGCCTTATCCTCTTCTAGCAAGGGTGAGACTCAAGGCTGCATGGATGGTGGGCAGGTGTTCTGTTGGGACCTACGTCTGGACACAGAATGATTTTAAAGCAGGGCTGCTGTCTTAATGAGTGCCGGACGTGGCAGATGTACATAAATTTGGGCTTAATTCATTGGAGTCTTATTTTATTTCGTGTAGTACTGCCTTGTGATAACTCTTATTGAATTACTTAATTCCTACTTTCCTGTTTTTGTGTCTCAGATGAGAGCAATGTCTTATACTTCTTTGTAATCCTCAACAGAATGTATAATAGGTACTTAGAAATACTTGCTTACTAATCCATTTTCTCCTCATTTTGTCACCATGCAAATGAGCCAAGCATGAAGTCAGACTGACTCTTCTCCAGGAATGAGCCATTTTAGGAGCAATGGAAATTTAGCCTTCTCTTCCTCACACTCCAAAGAATCCTTGACTTCTAGCCACTCCTGCTCAAGGTTCTCTGCAAGGTCACAGCTAAAGCCAGGAACATGTCAGGACTTTCTCCCAACTGATAGTCCAGTAATTATTATGCTTTACTTTATAACTATTTTACATTTTATTATAGAAAGACCAATGGATAGAAAGAAGCTATCTGTCATCAGCTGATTCTCCTTCTGCCCAATCAGTAATAGACGAAAGAGCTTTAATAAATTGGAGAGAAAAACACAGACAAAATGTCTGTAAGGAGAATTGGGGTGAAGGTGTGAGGAGAGAGGATAGGGGCAATAGAGAAGATGGGTGACTCCTACAGGAAAAAGCCAAGACTTTGGGGCTTTAGGGGAAGAGATAGGAAAATGAATGATGAGTGGGAAACACTGTCAGGGAAGGCCCAGGGTGGAGATCTATGGAAGAGACTGCAGGCCAAACAAAAATCCCTCCCTGCGTGCCCACCCACAACCCAGCAACAGGATGCCCACTGTAGAATTTAGAAAAACTAAGGGATTCAGAAGGAAGAGGGATGAGCCATCTCGGTGGGAGCTATCATTCTGTGGGGTGATCTTTCCTGGAATTTTTCTGAGAATGTAGAGGGTGGAGAAGGAAATACTCTTTTCTTCTCAGATCTTTTTTTTATTAAAAAAAAAAGTCAAGGGCCCTGGGAACTGAGAGACAAACCTGTCCACACACAAACTCTGAGTGAGAGGTGG